CGAGTTGATTTGTGCAATGGTCCAATGATGTCCATTGACCACCTCATAAACGGGTATGGGGCGGAAATGGAGGAGAATAATTCCGACGGTTGATGGATCAATGGTGCATAGAGTTGGCAGCGCTTGCATCTTTGGGCGAACTTAACACAATCTGTGATCATAGTGGGCCAATAATACCCCATTCTTTTAACTTTAAAAGCCATAGCTCTTCCTGATGAATGACTCCCACATAATCCTTCATGCACTTTGCTCATGACGATTTCGACTTCGGGCCCAAAAATGCATAATAGGTAAGGGTCACTGACACCTCGTCTATATAACGCATCCTTTGACAGACAAAATTTCGCGCTAACGATTTTCATTTTCCTGGCCTGCCATTTATTCTTTGGGAGCTCACCTGTCATGATGTAGTGCTTTATTGGTTCCCTCCAGTCAGCCCCCCAGTCTTTAGCCGGAATTTGGTCAACTTTGTGAAATATTCGTGGCTCTGGCTCGGGATGCTCGTTTGGTTCAAGAACATCCTCCTCGATTAACGGCTCGGTTTCTAACATTGTTTCTGGAATCACTTCTTGAGCTAAGACAACGGGTTCCTTGTTAGATGTATTCGATCACTTTGACTTCCTTCGTTTGTTGGGTGGCGGTTCGATATCTGGTTCGCCACGGTCGCGTGCCGCTGCTCGAGACCTTGTAACGACGAGGGTTTCTTTGCTGTCTTGAATGCTTCGCTCCGAAATGCATTCCACTGGAATAACTCTCTTTAACTCAGGATCTGATGTTGACGCCAATGCGGCAAGTGCATCCGCAGTTGTATTCTCTCCCCGAGGTATGCGGATTAATTCGAATTTCGAGAAATTTTTAGATAAATCCTTCACCACTTCGAGGTACGCTTCCATTCTTGAATCTTTGGCTTCATAGTCTCCATTAAATTGGTTAACTACTAACTGCGAATCGCAATAAGCCAATATTTCCTTAGCTCCAAATCCTTGTGCTAATCGAAGTCCGGCAATCAGGGCTTCGTATTCTGCCTCGTTGTTGGAGGCATTAAATAACAACCGGAATGATTGTTCTAGAATTTCTGATGTTGGAGATTCCAACTTGATTCCCACTCCGGATCCTTGTTTTGTTGAAGACCCGTCTACGTGTAATTTCCAAGTTTGGTTCTCCGGTTGCTCTATCGTTCCAGGTATTGGTAACTCGGTTAAGAAATCTGCTAAAACCTGAGCTTTCATACTGATCCGGCTTTTGAATTCTATATCGTACTCGCTTAACTCCACCGCCCATTTCGCCAAACGTCCGGACTGACTTGGACTATGAAGTATTGTTCGGAGTGGTTGGTTGGTTAATACTTCAACCGGATGGGATTGAAAATATGGGCGCAGCTTCCGAGCCGAAGTTACCACCGCGAGTGCAAGTTTTTCCATCATTGTGTATCTTGTTTCCGGATCCGTCATTGACTTGCTTACGTAGTAAATTGGTTTCTGCTCCCCACGGTCTTCCCGAACCAAGACTCCACTAACCGCGTGACTTGAAACCGACACGTACAAATAAAGTTTTTCATCCACTTCTGGTTTGGACAGTATAGGTGGAGTGGATAAGTATGCCTTAAGCTGCCCAAAAGCTTCTTCGCACTTCTCATCCCAAAGGAATCCTTTGTTCCCTTTTAGAATTTGGTAGAAAGGTAACGATTTATCTGTTGATCTCGAGATAAAACGATTCAGAGCCGCAATCCGCCCAGTCAACCGTTGTACTTCTTTGAAGTTTCTTGGAGATGGCATGTTTAGAAAGGCGTTAATTTGATTTGGATTGGCTTCAATCCCTCTTTCTGTCACGATATAGCCAAGAAATTCCCCGGATGGGACTCCAAATGTGCATTTCGCCGGGTTCAGCTTCATTTGATACTTATTGAGAATATCAAAACATTCCTCTAAATGCTTAACGTGATCCTCTTTCTTTAACGATTTAACCAACATATCATCTATGTAGACTTCCATTGTTTTCCCGAGATGATTATGGAACATCTTGTTAACCAACCGTTGATATGTTGCTCCTGCATTTTTCAAACCAAAAGGCATTACCTTGTAACAATAGATACCTCTATCAGTGATAAACGACGTTTTTTCTTGGTCTTCGGGGTTCATCATTATTTGATTATAACCCGAGAAGGCATCCATGAATGTTAACAGCTCGTTCCCAGCGGTGGACTCTACAAGTCGATCTATATGTGGGAGCGGGAAACTATCTTTGGGACATGCTTTATTGAGGTCTGTGAAGTCGATACAAACCCTATCCTTCCCATTCTTTTTCTTGACAACGACAGTGTTTGCTACCCATTCCGGATATTGCACTTCTATTATGGACCCTATCTTCAAAAGTTTATCCACTTCGTCATTTACTATTTTCGCTCGCTCCACTCCAAGCTTTCTTCTTTTTTGTTTCACCGGTTTGAAGCTTGGATCCACGTTTAGTTCATGACAAATTTACTTGGATTTATGCCAGGCATGTCATCCATTGTTTCTACTCCTCTTGATGTTGGAAATTTGATACATTGATGATATGTAGAGGGGACTGCTTTCATTTGATAAATCCAGGGAATACCGAGGATGATGTTGTAAGCTGCGGGCTTATCGAAGACAACGAAGTCCACGATCTTCGATACTTTTTTGGCAAGGACCGGTAGCTTGATTGTCCCGAGAGACATGGCTGATTCACTTGTGAATGCAACTAATGGAGACGGAGGCCCCACTATATCCGCCCGACTAATTCCCATTCTTTCTAGAGTACTTAAAAAGATCAAATCGACCGAACTGCCTGTATCTATAAGGATCCTTGATACTTCGAAGTTGGCAACGTCAAGGGTAATGACTAGAGCATCATCATGAGGTCTTTCGAGGTACCGCGTTTCTTCTTCATTAAATGATATTGATGCACCTTGAAAATCGACTTCTTCGCTTAAGCTTGCTTTGAGTAGGATATTTCGTCTATGTTTCTTGATGGAACTTATCGAATCTCCGCAAAATTTGGAACCTCCTAGAATAACATTGATCTTACCCTTAGAATTCCTTGGTTCTTCCTCGTTGGTTAACCTTGGTCTTTTAGAATTTTGATCTTTGGAACTTTCCTTTGCTTCGTGGTATTCCTTCACAAAATCTTTTATATCGAATTTGGAAAGATCTCCACTAGCCCAAAGCTCTGCGAGGTGCCTTTTAAGAACGCTGCAATCCTTGGTTAAATGTCCGGTTACTTTATGAATGTCGCAATATAGACTTTCATCACGGACCCAAGTGTTTGATCTTCCTTTCCCTTGGAATTGCTTTCTGACGGTACTGTTGAAAGGTTGCGACCCAAATTTCCTTGGTCCTTTGCTCTCCCTAGGCTCGAACTTCTTGGTAGGGACGGTGATTGCCGGCTTTTCTTGTTTATTTCTTTGGGCAAAACTTTCTTTTTCGTCCTCTACCTCCATCCAGTTGTTCGCGCGAAAGAGTGCATCCTGAATTGTGTCTGGTTTATGAAGTATTAAGTCTTCTTTAAACCTTGAATCATGTCGCAATCCTTTTCGTAGGGCAGATAAAGCTGATTGCTGCGAGATTCTTGGGAGCTTTGACAGCACTCCTTTGAATTTGGTGATGAAAACTCGAAGTGACTCATTAGATCCTTGCGACAAGTTCCAAAGATCGGCATCCGAAACGCTTTTATCCATAAGAATGGAGTATTGCTTTAAGAATACGGCTGATAGTTCGTCGAAATTGCTGATCGAACCCGGCTCTAATTGGGTGAACCACATTAGAGCTTGGCCGCATAGATTCTCCGAAAAAAGCTTGCAGTAGCCTGCGTCCTCATCAGCTTCATCCAATTCGACTCTTCCAGCAGCGATCAGAAAAGCTGCGAGATAGCTTTTTGGATCCTCCAATCCGCTGTAAGGGTCCAACTTGAGTTTTCGGGAATCTTTGATCCTCAAACTTGCAATTCGCGAGATGAAAGGTGTTCGCCTAGCTTCTTCAATGACTCGATTGATGTCTGGCTCCGAACTTGTAACTTGATGAAATTTTGATTTCATTTCTTTTAATTCCTGGCTAACCTTCCTCATGGTCTCGAACTGGTCGAGGTTCTCCTGCTCGTATTGAGCTGCAAGTTGTTCTTCATCTCCGAGCTGTGCCTCTTCTTCCAACGTCTGAACTACATTATTAGTAGCACCGGGAGTTGTTTGTCCGCTGGTTTCATTTCGTGCAGCGGAACTTGGCGAGTTGAATATCCCTCTTCGGATTCCCACAAGGTTTCCTGCACTTAAAGAGCGAACACGAGTTTGTATAGTATTGACGTTTTGACTAAGAGATACCTGGGATGTTTGCAACGTATCGACGGCCTTTTCCACATCCGAGAACTTTTGTGATATGTCCGACATGGTTTGCTGCATAGCTTTGAGGGTTTCGGCCAATGATGTCTCAACGGCGTCTCCTCCGGACATTGTTGCTTATCTCGGAAGTGTAATAAAGAAAAAATCTAACCACTCAAGAACCTTCTTTCCCCACAGCCGGCGCCAAAATGTGGATGTCGGATTCACACACTCAAGTATTTTTATTAGTAGGAAAGATTATTCTTGAGGGACAAAAAATAAGAACGTAAAAGGCTTATGAATTGCTACAGAAATTGCTATCGTATTTCTTGCTCTAGAGGGAGATCCCTTTACATGGCCATTGGCCTCCATATTTATACATAGAGAAACGACATTAAAAATGAGTAATTAAGTACAATTATTCCTTCTTAAATGTGTCCGTTTTGATTCCTTGATTTTAATGCTCCACGTTTGAATTTGAGTTGACTTTGGTCTTTATGGGCCTCGCCTTTCGGCCCAAATGTACTTGGACCGACTTAACCATGACCTCGTCTCCGGACTCGTGTCGAGATGCAGTCACTTCGGACCCTCTTTATGTTGACAACCACTCCGACCGTTCCTTTGGCTCACGGATCCGACGGGCTTCATCCTTTATGGGTCTTCATCTTGTCTACGTGGCAATCTTTGGTTGGTCCCGGACTTCTGGTGCGGGATCTGACACCAACAATGGTTGTGCAAACATGAAATTGGCGATACATGCAAATGTTCCCAGCAAGACAAAAATGCCGTCTTCCGCAAGCGCAGCTTCACAGTGACTGAAAAATGTCTCCATGAATTTGTGGCCAACATGTTCTAGCCTCTCGCTGAAAATTCCAAAATGTTATGTCATAGAGACATAGACTCATAAGACAAGAGTACATATTTAATTATACAAAGAAGGGAGGGGAAAAAAAGATATTACCAAGATATAATTCTGTCATATTTTTGAGCATCAGATAGTTGGCGATAATCGCAGAGCTTAAACGTAATCCGGTCCTATCATTAAGAAGTTGAAATGTTAATCATAGCATTGGAGATCAGAAACAGAATGGATTATGCAAACCTGAAGTCCAGCTTGTTTCACTTTTTCTTCTGCATACTTAAGTTGTTCAATTGATAGCGTAATACCGGTATATTTGCATCCAGTTCTTCTCACAGCTTCTATGGCCAAAGTTCCCCATCCGCATCCAATATCTAAGACCTCATGGTTCTTCTCTATCCTCGACTGAAATTTCCTACTTTTTGATCACTAAAGAACAGAGCAAATGCCAGGTTCTTGCTTTAATTCAAGAATGTTACCTTATCAATGAGAAGATATATTTTTCTCATTTGTGCAGTCTTCAAATCTTCATCATCCGACTATAAACGTGTTAAATGGCAAAAGATTAAAATCAGAGTAAGAGAAAGTAAAAAAAGAGTGAGGAGGTATCATTGTTACCTTGAATACCGCAGAGGAATAAGACATGGTAATATGGTATCATCCAATAATATAGCAAAAAGCTCATTACTCTGCAATTTACTCATCACTACACTCAAAACAGCAAAAAAATGTTCATCTTGAGACTAAAAGATGGGGGGCATAACACAACTTACAAGGTCATAGTGTCGCGAAATGTTCCTTCGAGCTTGAGTTATATTGTTCTGCCTATAGAAATGCTTTAGGAAATGCTTTGCAGATGCTAAACCAGTAGTCAAAAACATCGGTGTCCACCGGCCCCTGCAAAATAAATAAAAACAAGTGCAATGGGACAAGTGAAGTAACTTAGCTGCAAGTTTGAAACTTTACCTTTTCTTAGCAAGATTTGAGTTCAATTCTTTGCTAGCAATGAGAATCTGCAAGTTTGCATGATGAAGCAGATAGATGTTGATCAAAAGTTTTAAACATCAATCTCCATGCTTCAATAATTGTAGGTTACCATACCATTATCAGATTCAATAGTCCTGTTTCCTTATTGACAAACAAAAAATCTCCATTGATATAAGCATCAGCAAGTCCTAAATCAGCCTGTGTCATAACCTGTGTGATAAAATATTTGCAAGAATCCAAATCTTGAGCTTTCGAAGAAAACAGTTTCCACTGATTCAAAGAGCACTTCTAAGTTCTAACATCGGTATTCTACGCTAACCTTCCAGTAAAACTGAGGACTGTGAATCTCTAGTTCAGATTTCAAATGACATCTTGAATCTTATCTTTCGAAAGTGAACATTGTTCCTCCTTCTTCAATTATTCTGTTAGGATCTAACTAATAAGTAAACATAACATTTCAAAGCAACTTATGAAAAAATAAAGCAGAGGAGGGGGACTCACGTTACACAACCGGTTGATATGAAATGTGTCAAGAATCTAGTAAAGAAAAACCGAGCCGCTTTTTCGATTAGAGACAGGACCATGTGTTTTTGGTTGCTCATAGAAGTCACCATATCCTTCCCTAACGGACCTTGTGGAGCCACCATACCAGCCTGAATCAATATTAGCAAGGAAAAGCTATGGGATAGGTGAAGAAGCAGTCTCGACAAAGGTGCCAGAGAGAGTGATACAATGCAAGCTGATGTGGCAAGAGTCTCTGAAACTGTTAAAGAAGATATGAAGAAAGAATAAGAGAGGACATAGCCGGGGCATGTCGGTGGCTACATGCAGAAAAAAACAATATGGGCTGAATTAGCAACCAACAAAAAAATTATAATTCAGTATCTAACCATTACAACAGCTCAGAGGAGTCACCATATTTTTTTTCTAGCAGACCATGGGCAGCCACCATACCAGCCTAAGTACAAGATCTCGACCAAGATCAACAAGGAGAAGCTACAGAATAAGTGAAGTCTCTAGCAAGATGATGAACTAGAGAGAGGCAGAGCGAGAGAGTGTTACAATGCAGACTTACGTGGCAAGAGTCTCTGAAACTGTTAAAAGAGAGATGATATAACAGAATTGTAGAGGAAGGAAATTAAAGTAGTATAAATAGAAAGAGCGTAGTAGTGTGAGAGTTGTCTTTTTTGATCATTGATGTATAAAATGTAACTCCAAACTTATGAGAGAGCTGAGTAATTTTTCATGCATTAGAGAGAGACAATGAAATGTAGCTTAGGTATAGTTTTATGATCCTTAAGTGAAGCTTAGGTAATCATGGACAAAGACGGGTAGATGAGGCATGCACCTAACACAGATGGATCAACCAAACCATTGAATTGATTCATAAGTATTGTAAGTTGATACATTGTAATACTTATGGTACATGTTACAATTATTTCTATATCTTAACAAGTTTTTGCATTTCATGTTGCTATATATATGTTATTTTGCTTCATTGATTTTTTTTTAAGAAAATGACTTCCAACGAAATACATGTGCGTCTAACAAAACTCATAGCTCGTAATTCAAATAGAGACAAAGTACATAAAGATTAAAACTAGTACTATATTTGGAAACAACAACACTCTCAAACTTGTAAACCATGTTGTACGTGACGTGAGACATGCAATGCAACCTTCTTCATGTGTATATTTTTGTTTAGTGGTGTCCGATTCCACCGCCTCCTCCTCCGCCTCCACCTCCGCCTCCACCGCCAAATCCTCCGCCCTTACCAAATCCACCTCCTCCGCCAAAACCTCCTCCTTTGCCTATTCCACCACCGATTCCACCACCTCCACCAAAGCCTCCTCCACCTCCAATGCCGCCACCAATTCCACCACCTTTTCCAATACCGCCTCCAATGCCTCCACCCTTACCAAATCCACCTCCTCCGCCAATACCTCCACCTTTGCCAATACCGCCTCCAATGCCTCCACCCTTACCAAATCCACCTCCTCCGCCAATACCTCCACCTTTGCCAATACCGCCTCCAATGCCTCCGCCTTTGCCAATACCTCCGCCGATACCTCCACCTTTACCAAATCCACCTCCACCACCAATTCCTCCCCCTTTGCCAATACCTCCACCGATACCTCCACCCTTACCAAATCCACCTCCACCACCAATGCCTCCGCCTTTGCCAATTCCGCCACCAATGCCTCCGCCTTTGCCAATGCCTCCGCCTTTGCCAATGCCTCCACCAATTCCACCGCCTTTGCCTATTCCACCACCAATTCCACCACCTTTTCCAATGCCTCCGCCGATACCTCCACCTTTGCCAATTCCACCACCAACTCCTCCACCTTTGCCGAAACCACCCCCAACTCCTCCTCCTTTGCCAATTCCACCGCCAACTCCTCCACCTTTGCCGATCCCACCACCAATACCTCCACCTTTGCCGATCCCGCCACCAATACCTCCACCTTTACCGATACCACCGCCAACTCCTCCACCTTTGCCTATTCCACCACCAATACCACCGCCTTTACCGATTCCACCACCAATGCCACCGCCTTTACCGATGCCACCGCCAATTCCTCCACCCTTTCCGATTCCTCCACCGATACCTCCACCTTTTCCAAACCCACCACCAACTCCTCCACCGTGTCCACCCCCACCTCCAATACCACCGCCAACTCCACCACCGACACCGACACCTCCACCATGTCCACCACCAAAACCTCCTCCACCACCAAAACCACCTCCTCCACCTCCTCCTCCTCCACCACCTCCACCACCACCGCCAGCTCCTCCTCCAAATCCACCACCAGCTCCTCCTCCAAACCCACCACCGGCTCCTCCTCCAAATCCGCCGCCAAAGCCACCACCCTTGCCCCCTCCAACTAACGTTTTCTCATCCTCATCTCTTCCCGAGCTCAACGACAAATTGCTAGCGTCAGTCGGTTGGATTTCTAA